AGCTAAAAGAAACACACATGCAGCATGAACAGATCAGAAACAGGCAGATATATGGAGAGGTCAGAGCTCTGTGACAGCAGGCAAGACTCCAGGGCAGCCACACTCACCCTCCATGCTCGTTAGCATGGGCCACACATGCATATAGCCGGAAGCTCCAGGCACAGACAGGGTCTTGGGCCAGGATGCACTCTGAGCAGCTCTGGAGACGTCCACAGTTGGTTGTGTTCACTTGTGTTACCTCAGTATGGGAGCCAACCAGGAGCCAGCTCTAGAGAAAATTAGTAAAAAAAAGGACTATGCTGCATCTCCCAGATTTCGTGGTCACAAGCTAGCTACGATGTCTCCCCACCAGACTCCCCCAAATCTATGACTCACTTGACACAATTTCAAATTCTCAACTGGCTGTGGCTCTGGAAATAAGGCCAGATCCTCAAGGACACTGAGCTTGGCTCCAATCCGCACAGCTCTGTGGAGGTGTCCATCCTCTAGGAAGCAGGCAGAGGGCACGACATAATGACACACTGTACCTGTGCCTGGGACTCTCATACCTGTAAGTATACAACCCTCTCTTTGACAAACGCATGTGTGCACGGGATGGGCAATGTACTTGGCTACTAAACATACCTGTCCCCAGATAGAGCACATCATACTCTTCCCCTGAGAGGCTGGCCACCCTGTGGGCCACAACTCTGAGATAGACTGTATCTGTAGTGACCAGCAGGGGGTGGCCATCAGCTGGAAGCACTGGCCTGTACATGAGGGGGTGGTCCCGGATGAAGGTGAGCACATGGTCAGGCAGGAAGAGTGATGAGTTAAACTGCTGGAATTTCGTGTTATTAGCGATGCACTAGGAGAAACACAGGATGGGTGACAACGTTTCCTAGGTGCCCGGAAGTATCCGCGATGCTTACTTGGGCTCTTGCTCTAATGAGGCTATTCTGGCATAGGGTGAAGAGCTGCCCCAGACCCCTTACCTCTCCAGGTCTGGGCTGGGGTACATCACTGTCCATGACAGGCTGTCCCCTGTTGCAGACATCTTTCAGCTCTCTGAAGGGACCATTAAGCACTGTCCGAATGTCTTGTGGTCGGAAGGCACAGACAGCAGAGATGGAAGCCTCCTCCCTGGAAGAGACACAGGGGGGAGCCAGATCTC